GAATGAATTATACATTACATTTATAATACCGCACTGTGAAATTTGTATTAGTTGATATTCGACTCCAGCAATGATACAGATATGCTAATAAGCTTCATCTATAGTATAGTATGTAGTCAATTACTTTCTGTTTTTGATATATATATACACACACATATATATATATTTTTGACATATATATACACACACATATATATATATATATATATATATATATATATATATATATATATTAACATACATATATTGTGTGCTTTCTACAGGAAATTTATTTGAATGCTAACAGTTACAAGTAATCTTTCAAGGTTACTGTTAGAGCGACAGTCGTTTTTAACATGTTATAGCAAGTAATAAGAACTAAATTGTGTATAGACTGCGTAGATTACTGTTCACACAAACATAACCATGATCTGATAAATTTCATGTTTAATCTTCAAGCTCATTGACAAATAGTAGCAATGCATGACATTTTCTCATTTTCAAAATAAAGCTTTTTTTTTTACATTGAATGATTAATCAGCATTTGTAACGTGAAACTCATAACTGCCAAGAGCCAGACGGGCAGCAATATAATGCGCCTTCCCCCAACCCGTCGGGCAAGAAAAGGAATCCTAATTATGGGCTACCTGCTAATAAAAAAAAAATGTTTGATGGAGATTTTTGGCCATTCCGTACTCACTGAACTGCACCACGACAACTATCACACCATTACAGTTGTGGGTGCTTGAATAAAATATTGAAAGATGTTCATAGAACACATCAGTGGGTATTTATTATTTTTGTAGGGATATTTAACGTACTGCGAATACAACCAAGGTTTTCTTGCAACATTGAATGATTACGATGTTTCTATCAGCAAAAAGATGACATTAGAGGATTAGGTTTACTCTTTAAAATTATTCTTATAGTGTTAATAAACTTCATGCCTCCACATCATTGATTTCCAGGCTATGAAATGATGAGAACATAATAAAAATTTCTCTCAGATACTGGCGTCGCATACACAAGAAAAGCTTTTAAGATCAACATCTGCATCGCTCCATCAAAATCCTTTTGAATGCTTTTCTAAATTCGGGATTGAATATAGTGTAAATTAATGGGTTCAGAAAGCTATTAATGTAACCCAACCACACAAAGAATCCCATTAGTTTGTCATCTATGTTACACGTTGGGTAATTGAGGACTTGATAACGAATACAAATGGCACGCATAATGTTGACGGTGAAGAAAGGCCACCAACAAAGCAGGAATACACCTGTAAAAGAAATAAGATATTAGTTTAATATATGATAAAGAAGTAACTGTGACTAACTATATTTAAAAAATACAACCTTCGTTCTGGTCACAACTTGCAAAACAAATTCAAAATATGTTTATTTGTATCAATCAAGTTATAATGCTTTCCTAGAAAAGATCAGTGTATGCGTCACCGATGCTCCGTACCCTACATGGCAATTTTTGGTTTCTCGTTTATACTTAAGCTAGATATGTTTCAAACACTGATATGACACGTGCTTATGAGGGAGAGAATAAATCTTCTTGATAAAGAGTTCACAATATACATACAATGAGCTGATTGTATTGGTATCTACATAGAAGCACATATTATCACCAGTTTTAACCTTACGATATGGACCCAATACTAATTTTTAAGCGTACAATGCAGTCATTACATCGACAATTAGCAGTTTTAACACCGTTTGAGCACGAGTCAGCTATATATGTCACTGAATATGTACATTTGTTTTAGGGTACATATTTGGTTTTGGTTGGTGCGGGAAATGATATAAAATGTAGAGAAAAAGCCTTTCACTACGCTGAAAGAGTTAAGAAGCAATATAGGGGTCAAAGGATGATTTGTTTGTTCCTTAGTACTTTCAAGACTCGACTATTGTAATACAATTATGTCTGGTTCATATCAATATCTATTTTAGAAACTTCAAAACACTGCTGCTCGGGTCATTCTTAGAGTACCACGATCAGAGCATGCCTCGCCGCTGCTCTGAACCCTACACTGGCTACCCATACAATCCAGAAATAAACACAAAATTTGTTCTCTGTACTACTTTTCACTGACGGGCTCCAGTCCAACATATCTATCTGACATTACTCATGTGTATACACCTGCAAGATACTTACGCTCCTCTTCTGACACTCGCATTCTCAATATTCCCACTATGAAGATGAAATCGTATGACCAACGTTCTTTTGCATACTAGGTCCCAGCAACGTGGAACGAATTGCCCACTGCACTTAGACACAAAGACACAGTGATCTCATTCAAGAGCGCCCTTAGAACCCATCTATTTCAACTGCAAGAACAGTCATAATGACCTAATTATGTATCCTTTTTAACGTATACTTACCTTAAAAATTTACAGCATGTTTCATGTTTCTAATTTTTGTGGTATTTGTTTTCAAATTTTGTTATCATTTCATTATATGCATTTTATATTCTTTATAAGCGTTGTCAAATGTTCTAAAGCGTTTAGAGCTTCTAAATATTAGGCGCTATATAAAGTTCTCGTTATTATTATTATTATTATTATTATTATTATTATTATTATTATTATTTATTATTATTATTATTATTATTATTATTATTATTTAAGCACTTTCTGTGCACATACATTTTCCAGAAAGATTGACGGTGTTCACTCTTGCTAAACTCTTGGAGACATTTGGGTGTGCAATGTGATTATAATAATGTAAGTACGTCAAATGAATGCAAATAGGATTTTATTAAATGGATACTATAGATATACAATTTATCTTATTTACGTATGAAATTAATAGTATGGATTTGATTGCGCGGGATACTAATTAATTTAATATACAGTTTTTTTTAAATGTTTGTTTAATAAAGCGAGTTGTATGAATCAGTTCTTAGTGTCTGTGCGGAGTTTTTTTTAAACATTATTAAGTAACATGAAATGAAAAACACACACAATAAAGTAATATAAATAAATATTGACATAAAACATGAAATAACAAACCTCGTCCCCTCTCTCAAACAAATAACAAAAACCGAAATCTTTGTCAGATATAATTCAAAAAATAGAAATTAAAGACTGAACGAACTATGTGATTCGATAAATTAAGAAATAATAATTAAAACGTGTCTGTTGTTGCCGACAGTCAAATGTAACATATAAATCCTATTATTTTTAATTTGTGGTCAATACGTATTGCCTTGTAATTTTTCTTGGTGCAGTCCAGGTCCATTTATGCTTTTGATTTAAAATTTATTTCCCTGAACAGAATAATACGATTCAATAGGGATCTCAATAATTTATCGATAAAGTTGTTTTCTGTAGAATGTCAAGTTGTCTTCTTAACCCGTGTATTCAATCTACTGTTTTACAAAATCAATACAATTATTTAACCCATTCAGTCTCTCTGTCTTTTAAGCCTCCAAGCAAGAAACAGTTTGTCATTGAGCTAAATCAATATTTTACAACGTTCGGGTTTCATCATAGTCTTTCAAAATATTTTTTTTTTGAAAACACAGTTTAATATGTAACTATCAATCGGATATCGGAATGCTAAAATTAAGAAACACCCAAGCATTTTATCAGCGTCGATATAATTAAAACATTAAGAGTGTCTGAGGAAGTACATATTATTATCAAAGATCTCAGAATAAGATAAGAACAAATATGAAATTGTAGGCAATTTTATTCGAACAAGCGTAGGTCTTAAAAGGCAGAATTACATGCAGCTGAAATTAATGAATTTTACAAATCACAATATTTACTATTGCAAATCTGTCCTAACACACGGTTATTTTTTGTGGGGCTCTGAGGCGCATGTTTTATTGTTTTATTTTATAGATTACATAATAAATGTCTGCAACACGTTTTACGTTCCTAGAATCGTTCTGATTGGCAAAGTTATATAATATTTCAGAGATGATGTTATCTGTCTTCTAGGGATGTACCATATGAAAATAATTCCAATGAGGTTAAAACCAATAGATATTCACAAAATGAGTGGTTGACCAATTTAAAGAAGAAGAATAAAATATGACAATTTAAAATTAATCAAAATTTTAATTTGACTGCATTATTACATCAATATACTTCTTATTGAAGGCATTAAATTAGAATTGCTTGGACCATCGAATTTCAGTTATATTTTCCAAACATGTTTATAAAGGCAATTTTAGTTTCCCAATTTTCCGTTTTCTTTTTCTAGGTAAGCGAGCCTTCTGCCCAAAAAAATGGCCTAAGTTTCTTTTAATGAAAGCATTTGCATGAAAATAACTTTAATCAATATATTTTTTATTTATACTTTAACGTGTTTTTTTTTTAAACATGTGTTGCCATTTTCAAATGCTAAAAAGTGGAAAGGTGAACAGTGTTATGAAAACTTGTGACATATGTATATGTACGCAATTACACACATAAAGGTAAGTAGGATTGATAGCGATTGGCGAACTTAAAACATTCATTAACTTAATGTAATAACAATGTAAAGTTAGCGTAACTGTCTCAATTAATAGTCCATTTTACAACAGTTTGATTGTCCAAACTAAACATATATTGCAATACCTCGACGCTCAAGAAGTGTCTTGACATTTGCAAGCTTATAATTAATTAAAATAAAAATGAAGAAATTGTCTATTTATATCTCAAATTAAGCAACACATACAAGGCACAACTAACAGTTTTCTCCCTTTGCTTTAGCTCCCATTAGTTTAGCTGAAAGCCATGGAACGATGTATCAGATAGCTGGCTACTAAGAGAATTAGCGTTCTCATAGTTTTCTGCATATATTGTTATATTCTATTAGCACATTTCATATGTGCAACTTAATCTATACAAACGATATTAAGAGGATTCAGCTATCGATTGTCGGAGTGAGAAATTTAAAAGAGAAATAAAGCTCTGCAGTTTTACTTTTATATCAAAATCAAAAACCGCAAGAACAGTAAAATGGCCTTAAAGTCGCTTCATATTAAACCTAACTTGCAAACTACCAACGCTTAGGATCCTTATTACCAGGAAGCTGAGGAAAGTTAGTTGCAAAAGCGTCGGACTCGTAATACAAGGTTCCAGGGTTCAATTCCTGCCTTGGTAAGAACGAACTGAAATCTCATTATGTCATCGGGAAAGGCACTTAGCTCTCGTTTGCTCCGCGTGATAAAGCCAAGAAGCACGCGCATGATGTGTATGTGTGTGTGTGTGTGTGTGTGTGAGAGAGAGAGAGAGAGAGAGAGAGAGAGAGAGAGAGAGAGAGAGAGAGAGAGAAAGAGAGTGAGAATGAGAGAGAGACTTTTAACGTAGATTGAATGCTAAAGGGCAAGCAGATTTTATCTTCTACCCAAAACTGACAAACACGGAAACACAGGCAGACTTATCATCTCCGGTAACGGGCATCGCACAGAAAGGATATCAAAATATTTGGAAAATTTTAAAGACTGCATATCCACATATTTTCCATCATATCTTTAAGACACGACAGATTACCTCATCAAAAGCAAAGCAAGCGGTCTATCATTGCCAGACACATTATGTGTTTCCTAAGACGTTATATCTTTGTATACTAACATACCACAAAGCGAAGGGATACTGGAGAGTAGAGAAATATGATAAACAATAACTGTAGACAATCCAACCACACACTTCTTAGACCAAAACATGGAGCTTGTCCTAAAACTCAAGAACTTTAAATTTAAAGAAGAAAACTACATCGAAATCAATGGAACCGCTGAGTACAAAATGGCCGTTCGTATGTTAATATTTTTATCGCAAAACTGGAGGATCAACTTTTAGCATCAACCTACATTACACCAGCGTGTACGCTTTTTAAATGATATTGAAATGAAGTGGCAACAAGGAAGAGTAGGTCTGGAAGACTTCATATCAAAGGCAATCAGCTTCCATTCTTCAATAAAATTCTTGGCAGAAATCTCAAACTCAAACCTCGTTTTCCTGTATACAACTACCAGGATGTAGAAAACAAACTCCATACAGACATGTTCTCGAAACCAACCGACAAACACCAGTATCTCCTATCAACCAGCTGTCATCCAAAATACTGCATTAGGAACATTATATATAACCAGGCACTGGTGATACTGATAACTGACTACGACGATGAAATATTCCTAGAAAGGTCTGAAGAGCAATCTAATCATTTAACTTACCGAAGCTACGACAAAGACCTAATTGAGGAGGCAACCCAAATAGCACCCCCCCAAAAAAAACCCACACCCCTCCCTCTCTCCAAAAAAAACCAAATCCGCAATGACCTGCTAAAATATGGAATTAAGGAAAAGGCTGATAGGATAGGTAAAACCACCGCGAAACATTGGCCCATTGTGGAATCGTAGGAAGTACTTAAGTTAATCCTTCCGAACAAACCTGTAGTAGCCTACAGGAGACCAAAATCCTCAAGGACATCCTAATCAGAGCAAAGCTAACGCCAGTCACTAGCCCAGACCACCCTAGTCAATCTGGCCCCTGTGGCGATAAAAGATGCAAAACCTGTCAAATTGTGTTACATACCAGGACATTTTCCAGCACAGTGACTAGAGATAGACTAAACATACATGGTCCAAAAACATGTAAAATAGAGAATGTAATTTATATATTCTCAAGTTTGATCAGTAGCCTTAAGTATGTCAGAGAAACTGAAAAGCTACACAAAAGTATCAACCTTAATACATCTGATTGGATGACAAAAACGCTGCACATAAGCCCGGTTGCAGAACACTTCTCATCCACTGGCCACACTCTTAGTGATATAACACTTACTGCAATTGCTAACAACCCCAAATGGAGTTCCGAAACCAGGAAAGTAAATGACTAATACTGGATACCCCACCTTAGAACATTTAAACAAAGCGGTTTAAACCAAGAACACTAGAAAAAGACAGCCATGCACACATAAAATTATCGTTCGCAACCGACACATTTTCTTTAAACATTCTCTAAATTTGCTTAATAATCTATAATTATTACTATAACAATGAAATATCCAGGATACAATATGCGTTAAAAAAAATGTACACAATATAACAATTGTCGCTAAGGCTCATCGATTTCTAGGTTAATACATTTGTTTCCAGCAACGGCAACATGTTGATATAAATTAGTTGAAGAAAATTATATTTATAGATTCAATACCTGTATAAACAACCATTTAAAGTTTTCAAACACTATGGTTTTTCTATTTTGTCTGTTTGTCCTGTCTATGTTTTGTATACGTTTTTGAAAAAGACTCATTAAGAGTTAGATAGCTATTAACTAGTACGTTGTCAGTTTATTGCACGCACACACACACATAAACACACACATACATACACACACACACACACACATATATATATATATATATATATATATATATATATATATATATATATATATATATATATATATATATATATATATTAGATCAATATATGGTTCCTGATAGAATTTGGTCTTTATATGTTGACATGTCTGTATAAAAGAAAAGCTCATAAATGAAAGTGTTAAAGAAGACAGTAGCATTATGGATAACATTAGGACAAAAAGGCAATATTACATGTTTACCTAAAACAATGGCTAATGTTTTCGTAGCTTTCTTTTCTCTTCGAGACGAAGAACGCTCTTTCCTTTTTCGGCTTGTCCTCAAATGAAAATTGAATTTCGTTACTCCTTTTTTTTCTTTCTTTCTTGTCTTTGTATCGTTATTTGCAGCTTTATTATTTTTACATTGATTACTTTTCGAAGCTCCCGAGAAATTAGTTTCCATTTCTCCAAGCTCAGTAACCACCCCTTCAACTGTTTGAATCTTGCGCGCCTCCATGTCATGAGCAACTGGGTTAATTATCAGTTCGGCCTTTGAATGATCTCCATGCTCGATCTTAACAGGAGTTTTAGAATCACTTTCATCTTCCTTTTCCTGCGAGTCCGTGTTAGTTGGAGGATTCGATGTGGAGTGTTCGTCTGCATGATCGGGACTCTCTGTTGTCTCATTTGTATTGTATGTCGACACCTTACCATTATCCATAGTTGCTAGGCTGGTCTTTACAGTGGCCTTTTCGACAACCATGGTTTGTACTGTGGCAGTGTTTTCGATAACATTTGTTAGAGTCTGTGTATCAACAGTCCTTCCACGTTTCTTGACCGCTAGTTGCCTTGCTCTTTGTCTCAACACTCTGTAAATTCTCCAATATAAAAATATCATCATAAGAGAAGGAATATAGAAAGATCCCATGGATGAATAAATGAGAAAATCTGAATTGAAAAATGAACAATCTCCGGGTAAACGCAGAGGGGAATAATTCACTCCAAGTGCTATTGGTGCAGCTATGGCGATAGATACGACCCATGTAAGTACAAGCATTGCGTACACTCTCTTCGAGTTTTTATGTTTGGCATACTTGATTGGCTGTGTTACTGCTATAAACCTGAAATAAAACTGCCATATGTTAATAGTTTAACAGAGATTAAGAATTTACGCTGAAGGTAACAGATGTCATAAACGATTAATTAACGAAAGTTGATCTAAATATCATAAGCTAGTATTCGCTTTTTATGGAAAATGCTATATCCTTATGCATTCCTCTTCAGTATCTTTAAAATCGTCAAAAAACCCAACAAAAACCAAAACAAAAATAAGTTCAGCAATTTCAGTCTGAACTAAATACTATTTCTACCATTATTTTCAACAAAGTTCAAATTAAGAAATGAAATGATAAAAATATGGATTAAGAGCATATTACAATATAATGGCCGCAATCAAGCATTCAAGATATCTAATACATTTAGTTCATCATGTACATTCTCTCTATCCTTGACAATGTAGCAGGCAGTTACAGAAATCTATATTGCTTGACATGCTTAATTTTGACCCATGTTTGACAATGGTTTATTCGTCATCTGGTTACTATATGCGTGATGAACAAAGGTCTATTTTTCGAAAGTAATGTATTCGCTCCTTAAGTATGAAAAATTAGTCAACTTGACAGCATGTATATTTCTTGACCAAGCTTTTAAGAATCGGAATAAAATATAGATTCATAGATAAAAACCATGAAAAGGATAATATGAATAGGTTACGTTTTATTTATTGCAGTAAAGTTGCAAACAACTTGGGGAAAACTGTTAACAAAACGTCTGACCTTTCATTCCTCCTTTTTGAACAGAGGACATGTAAACATATGCAGAAAGCAAATCGTCGTACTTACGACAAAGCAATAACATATTTGGTGTTTCTGAGGAAATATAAATCATTACTAATGCTGTCTTAAGAAAGTTGGCCCTCTATTATGGAATTAATGGAAATCTGTGACCAATGTGCAAAAGTGTTAACTAAGCTGAGTTACGGGATGAAATTAGTTACGAAAGTAATATATCTTATTGTTTTTGCTACATATATGGATACTGATATATAATATTATACAAAATTTGAATCTAATGTGTTTAAGGTTTCACACTGTGATTTAACTTTTCTTGGTAGTGATGAGAGAGAGAGAGAGAGAGAGAGAGAGAGAGAGAGAGAGAGAGAGAGAGAGAGAGAGAGAGAGAGAGAGAGAGAGAGAGAGATCAAATGTAAAACCACAATTCATGATACGCTAGAAATCAAATCCTAGTCCGCATCGATCGACTTTGCCTGTGTACACTAACCCCTTTCCCAGGACAAGACTGGAATGTAGTCGTTTAAGCACTAACAGAAACTCTCTTGGCAAGCCAATATTTAACATATTGTGTCTGTGTCAGGGCTAGATTATACACGCTTTCTTTTCTTGAAAAATACTTTTCGTTCCAATGAGATAAATGGAAATTGTATTCCAATTAAAGCGGTATGGATAATGCCAGCGATAAGCACACAAATAGTCTCCTAAGTTTGTTTCATCACGTCGTCCAGTTCTTCTGATTTTATAAATTTTCGTAACAATAATAAAACGCATGGAATAATTTCTGTATCTGCAAAACTGACACGAATACCTCTTATTATTTTATATAACTAAAGAGATTATACTGCAATTGACTGCATATAACTATAACATAACATTCAATAAAAAAACGACAATGGAGAAGACACGTTGGTAATTATTTTCAATGACAAATTAACTTGTATTATTG